CTTCTCTTTCTCTGCTTCTTTCTTACTGTCTCTTTCTTTGCGTTCTATTTCGCTAATTCTTCGTTTTATTTATTTCTGCAATTCTTAATTTATTTCTTTTACTTTTTTCTCTCTCATTTAGTTCTATCCATTTTCTTTCTTGATTACTTCCTCCTCTTTCTTTCATACTTTCATCGTGTCTTTTTTAATTCTACAAGTTCCCTTCATTCTATCATTGTTATGATATGTTTTTATCATCTCCTTCCCATATATTTCATTTCTTTCTTCAGCCAGCCTCTATCTTCCTTATTTCTTTGTCCTTTTACTTCCCTTCCATCTCTTGTTCCCAGCTCCCTTACCCATTTTCCTCTTTCCTTCATATTCCAATATTATTTTAATTATCTTTCATAACTTCTGTCACTTTCCTTCTTTCTCCCATTCTTCACTTCCCCTTGCCTTTTATTTTTATTTATTTCTTCTTTGTCACTCTATTCATTTCTGCTCTACATTCTTTTGTCTCTGCTTTTCGTTTATTTCCTTCTGTGCACACGTTTTTACTTTTGTATTAATTCAGCGAAACGAAATCGGGTATTTATTTTTACAGATGTGAATCCTGCAAGCTTAATAAACACTGTTTTTTCCATCCTACTATGAAGCAAATGAGTTATTTATTTAATGCCTCCCACGTACTCGTATGTAGGCACCGCTTTGTTTTCCACGTGTCTACCTTTTGCATTCTTCCCTGCATATTTGTCTTCTCTCTGTGGATGCAAAGAGAACACACACTGGACGAATAGAAAGGCCAGCCCAGTGGCAAGCCGTTGCCATGGTACCCATCCGAACCCATAAGATTTCCTAGCCCTGTAAATACATTCACAGCTACGAGTACTCATTCCTAGCGCCTGCGCGTAAACTGCATGTTTCATCTACCACATAACTTAAGCTACTGAAACAGGGAGTTCGCCTGGATGCAAGTCGGTTCTCATCTCATGGAACAAAGTAGTATTTCCACCGTTACAAAAACCAACCAGTTAATACTGTAAAAAAGTAAGGTTGTCCCTGTGCTTAACTAATTAAGCACCACTCCATGAAGGCGTATGGGGGAGTGGATGTATACATCTGCAGTTTCTTGACCTCGAAGCTAGTTTGAGGTGAGTGGTCAACTTCACGCCCCTACCGCTTTAACCCCGCGGAAGGGGTCCCCTGTACCCATCGTATAGGAGGCTGGGTGGGCCCCAGAGCCGGTCTGGACGGCGTGGAGAAGAGAAAATTCTTGACCATACCGGGACTCGAAATCCAACCCTTCGGTTTTCCAGAACGTAGCCAGTCGCTATACCGACTGCGCTATCCCTTATCCTCATAATCGTACAGAAAAATCAATAAACCGTACTTGGTAAGAAGTAGAATTTTTTGATATCAAAACGGTGATACGCCCAGTAAACATTGAAATTTAGAAAGGATATAAAGATTTTGATAATTTTTATACTACTTTCTTTATTTTGAACAAATAGAAGGAGGCTTATGATATCACCT